AAAGAGGTAGTGCACTAGGGACAGGAAGGAATTGAGACTAGAAGTAGACTAAAGAGCTTCTTAGAAAATCAAATGAGTTAATTTGGACATCAAGTAAACCTAGCACAATGGATAGAATTTTCAGAAACCAGGAATCTGTATTGTGTGGTTCCATTTCCATCAATTGGAAGGAGAGTTACTACTGGATTAAGAGGAAGAAAGTTAAAAGGCTTCAAGATTTAGAGGCTGATGGCTCATTCTGGAAGACTTCTGCCAAGTCCTGAGATTTAAGAGTGACAGTGGTTGCAGTTAACAGCTATTGTGACAATGGTACACCCTACTTTTGGGATTCTGTGTCTAGAATACAGACAATGTTTAATGTTGGGGTGTAATGCCCTTGCAGCAAACACTGGACTAACACTTATGAGCTCTAACTTGCATTCCTGAAGCTCAGTATGTGTATAACTGAATGTTGGGTTGACTCGAGGGGATGTTGAGTAAGAGGAGCCTCTACTGACTGGTACAGAGCAAGCATCTGAAAGGTGAAATAACTTTAGAGATTGGTTAAGCCTCCTATTTTACACTGGACACCGAATCCAAAAAGGATCAAGCATCAGCCCTGAGTTTTCATGGGTCGAACTGGGACTAGCCCCCAGATTTCCTGACTCTTCATGCAGTGCTCTATTATAAAGCCAGTAGGAACTGTGAGGCAATCATCTGTGGGCTCACCCGAGTCAGTCAGCTCTCCACCATCCGGGTCAACAGGGAAGCTGACTCACAGAATCCAATGTTCCTCTGGAATGTGGGAGAGGTGTGTCTTTCTTGTGTGCTGTGAGCCTTTCAATCTTTGTAAATAAAACCTTATTTTAAATGCCCAAGGAGAGCTGGCATTTGTAAGTGCCTTGCAGGCCAAGATCGTATTTGGTGATAGCACAAAACCTAGGCTGACTGACTGATGGGTCATTTGAGAGCAAATTTCTGCATATTGAACCTCAAATCAGTGATTTTTGCTTAGACCAAAAGCCATCTTCATTTGCATTCTGAAGCCCTTAGGAGGAGCAAGAAACTTGGAGGTTGAAATTGCCAACACACATGAAATAAATGAAAGTTAGCTATTTGAAAACATAAATGTGAAGGTATAGCTTTTAATGCCAGTTTCTATTGTTTGCTAAACCAAAAACCCTTGAAAACTCAAGGATCTCATACATCAGACCTATTACCTGGGGATAGATACTTTCAGATAACCTTAAAGCTACAACAGGTGAAAAGCCTGGTTCCTCTGACACCAGAGCAGACACCACCCTCCACATTTATCCTATCAGTCATCCTGGCCACACCCTGGGAGAATCCTGCTTTCTGTCTCCTTACAACCACACAGGGACACTGGGCTAGAGCCTCCACTACTTTTGCCACCTCTTACAGACCTCCAACTTTGCAGGACAAAGACATGCAGTTTTTTCTAAGTATGCTAATTGCCCTAGACATTCTGACATTCTGAAAAGAAAATGCTTTGGGTCTATTATAAAGGATCTACTACAAAGACCCAATTCAAAGAAAAGTGCAATCTTAATGATATGCCATTTCTATCAAGCCATTCTACTGGTCAAAAGTCTTCAGTGACTCCTCAGTGCCTACAGTATACAGTTCAGATATTGAGGTGTAATTTAAGGTTTTCCACATGCTGATCCCACCTCTCCTTTCCTGTTTCTTAGCTTTGTTGTTCTACTACATTGACCCTTCCCTTCAGTCATGCTAACCAATTCACCATCCCCCAAATATTCCTGTGCTTTACCCAGCTTAATATATTCCTTCTCTGGCCCTACTGTTCATCACCCATCATCCAAAAGCTATTTTCTATGGCTCAGCTCAAATTCCACCTCCTCCCTGAAGTCTCTTTGCAACCCAAATTACAGGATTTAATGCTTGTTTTCCTCCATGGGACTAGATCTAGATTCTCATTTTCCTCCACTTTGAATACTACACTGTCTGGTATCCATTCTTAATAAATATCTGTTAATTCTAACTAAGCCAAAAAAAAAGTTTCCATTTTCAAAGCTCTTTAATAAAGTAATCATCTGTAGCTATTATTATATCCACACAATGGAAACTTCAGAGCATCAAGTATGTTGTCATTGGATTCCTTTCTTTCCACAGAAGACCAAAGTAGGTCATTTCAAACCTCGGTCACCTTCAGAGAGATTCTAGGAAGGGCACGCTGAGAGTCACCAAAGAAATCACATTCCTGGGTTCCTAACTTGTTGTCCAGATCTGCTACTGAATCAGATTCAGGCAAGTGTGAACTGGAGAAATGAACTACTCATTCGGACGATCCAAACAAAATGAAAGGAACTCTTTTGTTACATTGGCTGGATATTCAGGTTTGAAAGGACAAAATGAAGGAGAAAAAAGAAGAAAAATAAAGCCATCGATTGCCTTCTCTTTGCATGTGCTTTTCTTGCCTTTTCTGTTTCTATTTTTCACAACCATGTGATAGAACTGGAATGTTTGGAAGGCATTAGATCAGGATTGAAAAGATCATTTGCTAATCTGTGGAGGATATCTACTAACATGTTTATTATCCAGTTTTTCCTCTAACTGGTTCTTGTTTAGTTTGTCCAGAACATGTTTCTTTGCTAAATTAAAAAGTGCCAGATGTGGTACCATGCCTACAAAATCACATCTGATTTCAGGGGTCAGACCCAGAATAGTTAATGCAGTCCTATTTCTAGGCCGAGTAACAAGGGTTATTCATTTCATATTCTTTTTAATGGATTTAGCCACTTCCTCAAAAGACAAGCATACTATTTGGAAAGAGAAAAATCTGAGTTATGGAAGGTCAGTAGAGAGTAAAACCAAATAGCAAATGGGGAAATTTAATGTGAAAGTTCTAGCTTTTCTAAGCATTCATTAATTCTTTTATTCATTCATTAAACTAATAAATACTGGCCATTCTCTAAGTGTCGGTGTTCACTAGTGTCATTTATTCAATTAGACTATACATACCTATTGAGTACTTATTTTCTGCTAGCTAGTTAACCACTAGGCATAACTTCTTCACAACCAAAAAGTTACTGAATACAATTTGAACAGGGAGCTTAACGATGAAAAAGTATCAATATTTAGACAGTCAAAAATATCATGAATAACAATTGGATAACTGTACTAATGTCAAACTTGTTTATGATAGAGATCTTAAATTTTTCACCTCATATATCACTAATCTTCCTTCATACCCCAAGCACATGCGATTCTGCTTCATGGACTCCCAGGTATATCCAATTGAAAATAAGCTTAGTTACAAAGGAGGCAATTGAGATTTGGGGCTCTAGAGGCAGCAAACAGATGGTAATATGAGAATGTAAAAAGCTAAACTCAGTGCAGACTTAGCACATATGGCAACTAGTATTATTATTATACAAATGCTACTATTAAATATTCTCTTAACGGTTTTCTTTAAAATGCTTGTTTATAGTTGTAGGCCTTCTTTAGACCCGGAGGAGATTTTCTCCCCTCCCCAGAGATATTTATCTAAGTGTAGTGATATGTTTGATTTTCACAATGGCAGGGTGAGGGTGTTGCTGGCATCTGGTGGGGAGACGCCAGAGATGCTGTTCAACATTCTTCATGGCACAAGAGAGGCCCCCACAACAAGAAATTACCTAGCCCAAGGTGTCAACAGGACCCAGTTCAAGCAACACTGCTCTAGGCCAGCATTTTTCCTTCTCTTGGAGCCTGGTAACCCCAGAGACATCAGGATTTAACCTGTGACCAGGCTAGGTATTCTATCTGGTGGCCTGGTACTTTGCAAGCTCTCTAGCTGTGGCCCCCTCCCAAGACTGTGAGCTTGCGTTAGTAGCTTCATCCCTTTGAGACTTTTCTTTAAAAAAAAAAACACCTTCATGACATGATTCAGTGAACACTGATTCAAGTTTTATACACATATATTGTTATTTATAGTTACATACATTATACATCCATGCAGTAACAGTTCGACCCCTTATTCTTCCCAGCCCACCACCACACACAGGCTCCTCCCTTCCCCCTCTCAGTACCCTCACCCCAAAGGCTCAGGTTCTCTCTTTTAAAATGCTTACATTTCTTTGGTGGCAAAATTGAGTTTGGGCTAGGAAATTAGTCACCACTCAGCAGCTAAAGGAGCTTGTTTTTCTTTCTCTAAATGTATTTCTTAAGAATTTCAGCCTGATCCTTCAGCCTCTTGTTAGTTGAATCTTCTACTTAATGTTTAAGACACACACAGACCTATGGCACCAAGACGTTTTCCAATTGTCAGGAAAGAGTTTTTTAAATACCGAAAATAACCAGAGGGCAGAGTGCCCTGAAATCCAGTTACGTAAGAAGTTGTTGGAGGACCGAGGCTGGATTTGAGGCTTCCTTCTGCACAAGGCAGCCTCCGCTGGTCTTCCCGACGTTGGCTGGGTTTACCTTAATGCTCCACACGTCTGAAGAGGGACCTTGCGATGCTGCACACTACCGGCAGCACGAGAACTTCCCGCCCCCGAGACAGCGCCGGGAGTGAGGGGCGAAGGGGCCGCTTTCCCCGCAGGCACGGGAGGCCGGGGGCAGGCGCGCGGGCGGCGGGCGGGGTCCGCTCTGCGCGCTGCCCGGCCACGTGCACCCAGCGCCGGGGCTTTGCTGCTCGGGCGCCAGCTTCCCCTCCTGCGCCTCACTTACGAATCCCTCAGGTTTTCAAATTCACAGAAAACACCTTTAGTGTAACATTCACCCACAACTCCCCGTCTCAGAAAAAAGTTATACAGAAACGGAAAATAATCCAATTCCTCTTTCCTTTCAGATCTCGCCGTGTTTCGGCGTCTCTCCCGGTCTCCAGTTCATTTTCCCCCCGACCATTTCCCCATCTGTGATCTGCGCCCCTTTCTCTTTCTCTACTCCTCTTCGCTCTCCTTTCCTTTCTCTTCCTCCCTCTCGCGTTCTCACTCCTTCCTCCGCTCCTACCCCACCCCCACCCCCCGCCCCGTCTCTCCTCCCTCTCTGGGGCTCCTGTGCTGCCCTCTGTCCCTCCCCAGAGAAGAGTGTCTCGCTCCTCGCGGGGCTCCCGGCCCCCGCTCCTTCCCTGCCCACCTACTGTGAGAGGCAGCTCCTCCCACCTGCCCATAAAAGCCAAGTGCATGTTACCGGCAGCGGGAGCCGAGCACTTCCCCGGCCCTCTCCTGCGGGAGCCCCGAGCCTCTCCTGGACCTTACGTGCTCAAGGTAAGATAACACTTCTGCAGGCATCGAACCTACTATGGGTTGTTGTGGAGGGGAATACACAATCCTCTGGTCCACAGGCTTACTGTGTGGTTAGAGTTTATTCTTATGGGTGCCAAGATCAGCTGCTCCTTTAACTAGCAACTGGTTTGAAAACAAACTTCTGTTAGAACGGTAAAATAAAAGTTCATTTTGGGCAGAAAGGGCAGCATAAATATTACAAAAACCCTTTCTCCTTTTAAATCACTTTACTGTTGCTGTGGTTAAAATGTATCTGGGGTGTTTTACTAACGTTTTTCATTGTGAATATTTCACATATTAGTGGGAGCAAGAAAACTTTGTCCCATTGTCAAAAATGCACTTTAAAAGAACATAATTAGTTTACTAAATATAGCACAGTCAAAAGGTCTGCTAACAATTTTGCCATGTTTTCCAAACCCCCAAGACAGCTTCTGTGAGTCCTTTAAAAAATATCTTTCCAGGTTTAAGTGCTTGGAAAAAATGATGTGAATGAGTGCCCTTTGCACAGGGACAGTAATCAGGTGGCTGGTAGATATGAAAGAACAAACCCAAATTAGCAAGCTGGGGCAAAATGTGCTTTCAAAAAACTATCTTTTCAAGACGTCTTAAAATGAGAATTGTGTTGGAAGGAACTAAGTAAGGGTATAAAAGAACTTCATGAATTTCTATACACACACCTAAACATAAAAGTGGTTCAATGTTTCACAGAAAGAAAAAAATACAGGCCAGATTATAAAATACTTCTGTGTACACCAGACAGTTGTAAAGAAAGATCCTTTGCTTTGGAAGTTTGAACCGTGCTTGACACTTTTTTCCTTCATTTAGTAAATTAAAAGCGACCTGATTTGACACCCAATTCTCACAGAAATATCCAGTGTTTAAGTTATCCCCTTTTTAAAAGCTGGTAAATTCTTATTTCTGAAGTCTGAGAATGAGTGGTGTGCACCTGTGAAAGGAAAAACATATTCTACAGCTACTTCTGTAAAACCAGACACTTGGTCCATTAGTTTGCCATCAAAATCTGTGGGCTGTATGGGATGAAATTCTCTCATGTGGCCGAAAAACCTTCTTCAAACGTTTCCTCTGGGGAATTGCACAGGACCGCTTAGAGATGGCTAACTGAAGCTGGCAGTCAGGAAACCAAAGCACTATTTCAGTCCTTAAAGTTCTTAAAGTACTTTTTTTTTTTTGGTTTGTTTATATTGTTTCATTTGAAAGGAGAAACTTACCAAAGCTACTGAAAATTCTCCACTATTAAAGAAAGGAAAAATCTTTCGAAGTTTAACTGAGGGTCTTCCAAACTTTTTCTCCGCATTATTTGCATATCAAAAGAAATAATAAAAGATATTTTAACATTCTTTTTGGCAAGGAGGGAATTCAATACAATTATTCAAATGAAAGAATTATAAGTAAAGCTTTCTGTTTTGTGAAATTTTGCTTCATTGGAAAGAATTATTGCAGGGAGTGTGGTTTCTTTTAAGAAAATGATATAAAATTACTATTGGCAAAGATAATATGTGACCTGAGCATATTAAAATACCTTTCATCTCAAGCCACAGTGCAGACTGCTTGCTTACTGACTGATGTAAGCGGGCAATCGACAACGACAAGAGCACAGGTATGGGACAAGGCCAAACTCAGTGTGTGGGGCGTCCAAGCTAATTCCTCTTTTGTAGGTGTGCCGGGACTCCGACCTATCATCAGAAGGGGCAAAATACACTGGTTCATTCACCAGATCCCCTTGAGGGAAGTTATCTTTTCTGGGAGGAAAAAAAAAGGCCCCCAGTGTAAAACAGCTCCCTGTTATTCCTAAATCTAGGGATGAAAAGTGTTCTCCCAGGACTTGCTTCTGCTTTTCCTGGCAGTCCATCCACTCTGCCAGCTATGGACCATTTCAGAGTAACTGCCTCCCGGCCCCCCCACACCATGCCGCCAGCAAGTTCAATACCCTAAATAACTGGGTGAGGTGACGTAAATTGCTCATGCTCTAACTTTCCCATGGGCCTTTACCAGACACTTAGAGTGTTTCTTTCTCCATAGGGAACATGGTGGTAAGGCAAGAAGACACTTCCCTTCTTAAGTTTTTAGAAAAATCAGCAGTGGGGTTACATGTAGTTACCCCAATATTTCCCCCTTGCACAAGATGTAGAGACACAGCATGAGTCTCCTCTGTGCTATTATTATACAGCTGCCCCTGGATTGGATCAGGGCCATGCCTATCCTACACTATTCCAGCAGGCTTTGAATGAGTCTTTTAATGTTTCTCAAAAAAGAAAACATGAGCAGCTAAACATCTTACAAGAGACATGGGGTGGGAGTGCTATGCTGATTTTGAGGACCTCTACACCTAGGGAAACACATTTTAGATTTTCTACTCTCTCAAAATTATGAAACAATATTCTTTCCATGATCAGAAAGTATATTCCACTTTACTGTCACTTGTGAACAAAAAAATCAAGGAGAGAAGAATGGGAATGAGTGGACAACTGAGAGGAAAACTGGGAGGAAGTGCCTCTAAGAAGTATCCTAGAAGAGAAAGATTAGAGTCTCTGTTATAAATGCAGCTTCTTTTTGCCCTTATTTAAGTGGAACATGAGGAAAGGCAGAAGGGCAAAAATACATATCTGCTCTTTTTTTTTTCTTATATCAGTGAAAATACTTCCACTAATAAGTTAAGATCCATCTCTACTATTCCCTTCTCTAACAGAAGAGAACAGCTCAGTTCTAAAGACCAACAGAATGTCAAGTCGTCCCCAGAGGACTTTGCCAGTTACAATTTTAAAAGCTTTATTATGAGTATAAAATCCCTCAGAACATATTTTTAACTAATGGTGGTTCACATCAACAAATCCACCCCTAACTCTCCCAAAGGACCCAATGTAGTGTAATATTTGCAAGTTGGAAGTTAGAAGCAACAATTTACTCCTTCTGACTCATTGTCGTCCACTTTGGTAAGGCATCTTGCAGAGTGACTGAGACCCAGCCATACTTGCTAATCTCTTGTCCTCCAAGCAACCCTCTGAAAACTAGGGCTTTCTTCATGCATTGGTTTCCTTCTCATCCACCAGGTCCCCATAAACATCCATATGCATAATTTAAAGAAGATACAGACCTTGAGTCTAGAGAGCAGGCTTCTGAGAGGTGCATTGTTCTAACTATTGAGTAAAAAGAAAAACAAAAGGAGAGAAGAGAAGGAGGTTAAGGGCAGAATGAATACCCTTTGGAATTTAGAGAATCTTTCACTTTAGCATTGTGTGAAAAGGACACTTTACTACCCAATAGAAATTGAGAAATAAAAAAAAGGATCGATTCTCAAGCTATTACAAAATCCTGATGATATAATGAAAAACATCTTCCCCATGACCTGGCATTCATTAACAACAGTTTACACACCTCAGTATTAAATTAGAGCTCTACTAAACTTCCCCTTTCCAGAGAGAAAAGGAATGAAGAGTGGGAAACAAAATTAGCACCAACATTTCAACAACAACAGAGAAGCCACTAATCAAACATTCCACTATAGCTTTGGTAACTAGGTTTACTGTTTGAGGAAGGAGGATCTTTACAAGCAAATAGATTTGCAGGAACATGATTAAAAGAAGTCACATAGGGTCATAATACCTATAAGCTGAGAGCCCTTGGTATGCAAATCCACAAAACCATCAAAACTCATGGAATCAAAGTGAAGTAACTAAAGCGAAAATGTTCCCCCAAACTGATTAGAGTAATCAGCTAAAATAATAATGAATTCTGACTTCTCAATGTTGCATAATAGTGAAGGCAACTCACAACACCTGTAGCTGATCATATGAAATATTAAAATACACCTGATGGTTCACTTTCAGTCTCCTCTATTTGGGACTCACTTCCATTTTTCTTGCTGGGAAGCAAAAGCTGCCTTCTCTCCCTCAGCGTGGGATTTGTAAATGCACTCACAGTCCCTCCATGCCACCCCCTTTTTTTCTTTCAGCAAAAGAAATCTTTCAATTATATAGATCAAGTTTTGGGAGTACCACTCATACTTGTGGCTTTTCTCACTACCAAAGTCTCATACTTCTCTTAAACAGGATGTAAATTTTCACTTCAACAAATAAAAAGTTTTTCTATTTTTCTAAGCTGTAATTCATACACCTAGAAGAAAAGGAATTTAAAATTGCTACTTGCCTCCAACAGATACTCTGAAATGAAGTTTCTAAGCACTCCTATTTATCTAGTCCCTATTCTAATTTTTTAGGGATTAAAAAACTTATTTAGAGAACCACAGAATATAAATGATGGAAGAATCTTTAGAGCTTATCTTAAGTCCGTTTTACAGATGAGAAAGAAACGTTCAGAGACTGATGTCTTGCTCAGGGTCACCCAGATATGTGTAGCAGAACTAGGGCTAGAGTTCATGGACCAAACTCTCCAGTCAACACTCTTTTTTGAATAACTATAATGTGTCTTCCCCATACAGTATATATCTAAGATGTCCCTGACTATACTAAGAATTTTGTTTGAATTTAACATATAGGGTTCACAGAAATCATAGCCTGGTAGATGTTTTGGGCTGCAGCTGTACCTCTACTACAGAATGTATAGAAACACATATAAACCCTTGTGAAGAGTGAAATCACTAATTGTCACAATCACAGGGCCCTTGTATGTTTTCTCCATTCCAGGATCTGGTATGTAGTAGCTGCTTGATTAATCTGTGTTGAGTGGGTGAGTGAATGAAAAAAAAAAGCTAGGTATAAAATATCCATTTTTTTGTCTTCTTATAAGGAGTCTATAGGGACTCACAGGAACTCAATTCTCAAATAAATCAAATTTAAGTTTTCTCCTTGCTTTAGGAAATGGAGAGCTCATTTAGCCTTACAAACAGCTAAGCCATTTCCCTGCCTGCCGTCCTTTCATTAGCCCCTTCCACTTTCAGGTCTTTAGTGAGAAAGGGGGCAAAATATGCCCAACAGACAGAGGAAAGCTTAGGGGACATCATGTTG